CTCCCTTCCGTCACCCATTCCACGTGCGCGCCGGTGTGTATGTGTGTGTGTGTGTGTGTGTGTGTGTGTGTGTGTGTGTGTGTGTGTGTGTGTGTGTGTGTGTGGTTGTGTGCGTACGCGCGTTGGCGGCGTCTGCAGTTGCCACGACGTGCGTACGTTACCTATGTAACGTTACTACTATCCATGTACATAAACGTTTACCGTACCTGTATCTGTACTCGTATCCGCGGGTCTTCTTCGCCGTCTCTGTGGCATCGGCGGTGTCTCTGCTGAACAGGGAGCCGGTGGCGCTTCCGTGACGGGAGAAGGTCAGGCTGCTGCCCCTGTCTCCGCTTCCTCTCAGTCCACCGCTGCTGATCGGTCCGTATCTGGTTGTGGTGAAGAACTCCGGGGCTCCGGTAGCTCCGCCCTCAAGTCCAATACGCTGCGCCGGGAATCCGCCTGCTCCTCCGAAGCCACCGGCTCCTCTCACCTGTCCTCCGAATCCAGCGCCGGCCTGTTGCCTGGTTGACTGCACCTGGAAGGATTGGCTGTTTCCGCCGAAGCTTCCACCGCCGATGTTTCTACCGCCGCTGACAGCGATGACGCCACCAGCTCTGCCGAAGCCGTCAGCGTTGCCTCCCTCTACGCCACCGAACTCCTTCCTGGTCTCCGTCCTCTGGACGACGGTACGGCCGCCGCCGACGCCCTGTCCTCCCGCGCCTCCGGATGAAGAGCTGAACTGGAATCCCTGACCTCCCTGAGGGGCGAGGTCAGCGCCACCTACACCGCCGACACCGACAAAGCCGCCAGCGTTGCCTCCCTCTCCGCCACCGAACTCCTCCGTGGTCACCGTCCTCTGGACGACGGTACCGCCGACGCCGGCGCCCTGTCCTCCCGCGCCGCCGGATGAAGAGCTGAACTGGAAGCCCTGACCTCCATCACCGCCTCCGAGAGCGAAACCTCCATCACCGCCGCTGGAGGAGGAAGAGACTTTACGGCTGAAGACGACCCGTTGACCGCCGCCTGCACCGCCTGCTCCGAATCCTCCTCCCTGTCCTCCCGCGCCGCCGGATGAAGAGCTGAACTGGAAGCCCTGACCTCCCTCGCCGCCTCCGAGAGCGAAACCTCCATCCCCTCCTCCGAGAGCGAAACCTCCATCACCGCCTCCGAGAGCAAAGCCTCCCTCACCGCCGCGGCGGCCGCCGCCAGAGGAGGAGGAGGAGCTGAATTGGAAGCTGTTGCTTCCTCCGTCGAGACCTTGGCCGAGGTTGAAATCTGCGTCTCGTTCGGCTGGAGCTGCGCTCGCCAGTCCGACAACGACGTCGATTAGAGCCAGTGCAAGCTTTATGTTCGTCTGCAAACATATAGATAGAGAGAGTGTGGATCACGTGTGTGGTGCGCTACACGTAAATATTACCGACGACGAGGACGACGACGACGTCAATAACATCAACACCAGCGGCGACGACGACGACGACGACGACGACGACGACGACGACAACGACGACGACCACAATAACAGCCACAACAACAACAACAAAGACAATGCGATCACATGGAAGCATAGACTAAGACGAAGTAGTAAGAGGCGTACTTCGTAGACGAAGACGATATCCGTAAATTTTTATCGAGGAAGCGAATACTATAGACTATACACCCCGCTATACGCAGCATGGATGCGTCGACGACAGATATGTGCGCTACTAACAAGAGTAGCTCTATAACTGCGTATCATTGTCCCGACGACGACACGCGATATACACGCGGCATACGGTGATCTAGCCAAGCATTCGCTTACAAAAACTACAACACGCGCCAATAATGGCAACCTAAGATACATTATTACATACGCACACGCCTACGTACACGCACATGAACGGGCACACACAACTACAGCATATATATATATATATATATCAAATATATATATAAACCACCAAACCATACCTGTGGAGAAGAGGCGCGTCGAGGCACTAGACTTCAGCGTTCTCAGGAGAGATGTGCGTGCAGATTGGGCGCTCGCATAATCTCCGCCACGGCTACTCAACAGTTTACCAAAGAGGATGGCGATATTGTGTCGATACCGGAACGAACGGGCCGTTGGCTTAGCGGTGCGCCTGTTTTTTCGGCATTGGGATTGCTGACGTGTGAGGCACCGCTTGGTGGCCGTGGAGTGACGTGGCTCTGTGAACCGACGAAGCGAGGCATTTAGTTGATATGCAATTTTAATGCAAGAGGCTAATATATGACTCTAGCTAATAGGTATGATTTTATCAAGAGCATGTAAAGAAGGAGAGCGTACAACGGTAAAAATCGTGAAATTATGCTGGGGGCAATATTAAGTCGTAATTAATAAACTTTTGCCCGTTTTATTTTGACGATTTCTTTGCAGTATTATTGATCAGCTGTCCCTCCTTGTTCATAATAAAACAAACCGCAGTGTCGACTACGAATGCCGCCATACGGCTGGATAATGGAGCGGCTGAAAATATGGTATTTTCGCTGAACAGCCAGACTAGACATTAGTTCAGTACCAGCGACCCACTCTCGAAGTGGGCCAGTTGTGTTGATTCCGGTCGCCGCTGTGTAGGCGCTGACTCGGATAAAGTTATTACTAGCAAGCGTTTACTAACATCCAGAGAAGGGGCGGGTCATTCACCATGGCGATTAACAACAAGACGTTTTCTGTAAAGTAATGGCTGCGTCAATGACTGGAATGGCGAGAAAAGATAGTTCAGAAGGA